GAGATGTTGTATCTTTACCTGCAAACAGGAAACCCCTTGGCAACAAATGGATCTTCAAATAAAAATTCTTCTCTGATGGTAACCTTGAAAGGGAGAAAGCCAGGCTTGTTGCTGAAGGGTACAATCAACAGGTGGGCATTGATTATCAGGACACATTTGCACCTGTGGTAAAAATGACCACAGTCAGACTCTTCCTTGCTATTGCAGCATCAAAATCATGGCATGCTGACCGAATAGATGTAAACAATGCCTTTCTACATGGAGATCTTACAAAGAAGGTTTACATGAAACTTTGAAAAGTTTACCAACCTCCTCCTCACATCAAGAATCCTGTCTGCAGGCTCAAGAAATCTCTTTATGGCCTTAAACAGGCTTCTAGACAATGGTTTTCCAAACTTGCAGACATTCTAATCAGCCATGGTTACACACCCAGCCAAGTTGATCACTCTCCCTTCTACAAATCAAAGGGATCCAATTATACGTGTGTTTTGGTATATGTTGATGACCTGGTTGTAGGTGGCACTAACTTGGAAGAAATCACTCAACCGAAGCAATCTCCTCACAATACCTTTAGCATTAAGGAACTTGGCCCTCTCAAGTTCTTCCTTGGGATTGTGATTGCCAGAAACTCCTCAGGCATTCATCTATAACAAACAAAGTACACACTTGAAATCCTAGAAGAAGGAGAAGTATTGCTATCTAGACCTGTTTCCACACCTATGGACTACAAGCTTCATCTTACTTCTCATCATTCTGACCCTTATCCAGATCCATCCTACTACAGGAGGATTGTTTGCAAGCTCATATACCTCACCACAACCAGACCCGATATTAGCTTTGCAACCCAACAGGTTAGCCAATACATGTCCATTCCAAGCAAACAACATTATCAGCTCCTTCCACTGGTCTATTCTTCCCCTCATCATCTAACCTCCATCTCAAGTCATTCAGTGACTCAAATTGGGCAGCTTGTATGGACACCTGCCGCTTGGTGACAGGCTATTGCATTTACATTAGTTCATCCTTGGTTTCCTAGAGAAGCAACAACGCAAAAGACAATCTCAAGATCATCTTGTGAAGCGGAGTATAGAGCCATGGCAGATGCAACATATGAACTTCAATGGCTTCTCTACCTCCTCAAAGACTTCCAGGTACCACACTCCCTGCCTGATCTAGTAATTTCTTAAGGGAATAAACCTCATATTTCTTTTAGTCTTTTACGTTTTAGAATTTTAGGTTTCATCGTTTGTTTTTCTTTGCATAACATGAGAACAATTGGAGCTAGAATTTTCAGGCTAAATTTAGAGTTTTGATTTAAATATGTTGATCTTACCAATTTTCATAATTATACACAATTTTATTATAAAATAACACTATGTCAGATGGCTAAAATCGATAACCTCGTAAGGGCTATATTAGTTCCGGATCCAGGGGAGGGCTGTGTCGTGGCCCAGGGCAATTTACAAGTTCAATTGCAACGGCTAGTAGCAGGATTAGCTGGTCCGACATCGTTCAGGAAAGGTGACAAGCGCACCAAAGGGAACGATGCCGTCTCAAGACAAAGGCAAGGGAAAGGCTGATACGTCGTCGTTGTGAACCAGAGACACAATGTAATTTTCGCTCCCTTATCCTTTGTTCCCTCTATTTTCTCTGTTTTCCCTTTATGCAAACAACAGCTCACAGTAGCTTGTCTTCTAGCATTTTGATCCTTGTGTAAAAGACACGAGATGATGATTGAAAAGTAAGTTAGGGTTTCATTTTCCACACTTGGTGTTACTCACAGAAATATTCACCATCGTCCAACAAAACTTTGCCCTCCAACTCTCAGAAAATTGTGGGGGCTGAGAACTCAACTTTGCACCAAGAGAATTTTCATCTACACCCAACCCATCCATTCTCTCTAACAAACTGCATTTTACCAGAAGAGGATCAACTGGGAGGTGCTGGTGCATGCCCTTATTCTACTGAGATTATGTAAACAAAAGCGGAATTTTATAATGGGGTAAATTGCAAGTTTGGTCACTTGAATTGCTATAAAAGTTCACGTTTGCTACTAAAATTAATTTATTCCATCCGTAGTCACTCAAATTAGTTAAACAGTCTAAGTTTGATCACTGGCCGTTAGTCTCCGTTAACTTTTGCTGAGGTGACAGTCAACTTTCATAGTTGACCGTTAAATAGGTGACGTGGCAATTAAAAAAAATAAAAATAAAAATTAATCTATTAAAAATTTCACGTAATTTCATAAAACATATGCCTTCGCCGGGTATCACCGCTTTCTTTTTGACCTACTCTGTACCGCTATCTACCTAAGCTGATGTGGGAGCTACTAGCTAGAGAGCAAATCAGTGGAAATAAGAGAGCAAATCATCAATTGAGCTCGAGGAATGAAAGAACGAAGAAAGAATCAGAAAAAGGAAAAGCGATGGGAGACAACGGTAGAAGGATCGTCGTGGCGGTGGATTTCTCGCCATGCAACATCAAGGCGTTGAGATGGGCGATCGAGAACCTCGCCCGCGACTGAGACCACCTCATCCTCGTCCACACCCGCCCCGCCGAATACCACGAATCCGGATGGAATAAATTAACGGAGACTAACAGCTAGTGACCAAACTTGGACTGTTTAACTAATTTGAGTGACTACGGATGGAATAAATTAATCTTAGTGGAAAACGTGAACTTTCGTAGCAATTCAAGTGACCAAACTTGCAATTTACTCTTTTAACCAAACTTAGTTGACGAGGAAAAAGTTTTCAATTAATCTTATTGTTTATAGATGTTTATCTTTAATTTTGAACAATTTGAATTGATCATTTGCGGTTTGCTTGTATGCTCTAGATTGATATTTTTTTATGATTAATTTGTATGAAAAAATTGATGTTAAACTTTTATTTTGAAAGAAACTTGTTATTGTAAATTTTTAACACAAAAACCCACGGGTACCCATGAATCCGCGGATACCCGGCGGGTTGGGTTTGAGTTTTTCAAACCCAATGGGTTTTAACCTGGGTTTTTTTGGCAGATAAACCAATGGGTTTGGGTTTGGGTTTGACAAAACCCGCCCCAACCCAACCCATTGCCATCCCTATTCGGAACCGAACCCGTGTTGGCTCCTTTCGCCGGCCGGTGCTTCAAATTCGGGAGATGATCTGGCGGCGAGGGGCGGAATCTTTTATTGGTTTGATACTCCCCAATTGTTCACAGCTGCCATTTTTCTTGCTTTTTCATTTTTTTTAAATTGACATCTCATTAAGTTAACGGTCCAGTCAGCAATTTCGTTTGCCACGTCATAAAAAAACTAACGGAGTTAACGGAGACTAACGAAAAGTGACTAACGGTGAAACGATTCGTAAAGTTAGTGGCGAATAAGAAAGAAAAGTAATTCGGGTGACAAACGTGAACGATTTATTTAATTTGAGTGACCAAACATGTAATTTAGCCTTTTATTTTGGGCATTGCTATTCGTCGCCCTAAAATAGCTTATCCGTCGCCCTAATTTTTATTAAAATGACTATGATGCCCTTTGTTTAGTTTTTTTTTTAACTTAAAAATATACCAAATAAATAAAATATTAAGAAAATCAATTACAAGTAGAATAAAAAATAAGTTCAACGAAAAAAAAAAACAAATACAATAAGAAAATTGAAATTTGATTGGGATTATGGAAACAAAAAAAAAAAAACCTCAACTACGGTGGTTGGATTTTAAGCGGCAAGGTTCTTCTTCCTTATTCCTCCTCCTCGTGCCTCTTCCTACTCGACAGACCAGTGCTCGATCTCTTTACTCCTGCTCCTTCATTAACAATAGCAGCGGGTCGACGGAGAATGGGATAATGGCAGCGACTGCGTGCGGGGGAATGGCCACGACGGCCAGAATCCGGCTCGGGGAAACGCAACGATGGCATTTGGGGCAATCAGAGTCATGGTGGGTTGGGGAAACGGCAGGACTGTCGTGATCAGACTGGTGGACGGGACAACGGGGTGAGATTGGGTGAAATTGTGTTTGTTTAGAGATTAGGGTTTGAATTTGGGATAGGGCCATCAACGTCATTTTCATACAGTTTAGGGCGAAAATATTTAAATTTTAGGGCGACAAATAGCAATTCAGTTTATTTTTTTATGTTGCAGCAGATAATTGTGGTGATGAAGATTTACATTTACTGGGGAGAAGATTTGTCAAGCCATCGATCACATCCCTCGCACTTCTCTTGTTATTGGCAATAGAGGTTTCAGCATGCTCAAGAGGTAAGAATTTAAAATTAAAATCTCTTCCTAGTTACCCCTTTTCGTTTTTACATGTTCCTGTGCTGATTTTCATTTGTACTTTTTACCTTTTTACTGCGTTGATTTTCTTGTGCAGGGTGATAATTATAATTTTAAGTTTTATTTATTTTTTAATTTTTACGATAATGACGTGGAATGTTTAATAGATTAATTTTTATTTATTTTTAATTGCCACGTCACCTATTTAACAGTCAACTATGAGAGTTGACTGCCACCTCAACAAAAGTTAACGGAGACTAACAGCTAGTGACCAAACATGGACTGTTTAACTAATTTGAGTGACTACGGATGGAATAAATTAATCTTAGTGGCAAACGTGAACTTTCGTAGCAATTCAAGTGACCAAACTTGCAATTTACTCTTTTATAATGTTTTAAATTCATGCAAATTACCTAACTTGAAATTATACTCAAGTTACTGTAGGAGATACCTGTATTTTTTCTTCTTCTATTCAAGTAAACAATGCATTGACAACAGATAGCTTGAATGCTTGGATGTATGATTAATCATGGAGAGTCTTTGTTTATCAGACAAGTTGCATTGTGATATAGATGGAGATGGAGTCTTCTTTTTTTTTTTTGTTTTATCGGAGACTAAAGAGAAGCATTGACTTTGAATATATATATATATATATATATATATATATATATATATATGCAGCGATGGGGGGTGATGGAACACAATATCCATTCTATTCTGTTCATTCCAAGCTATAGCTTCGCTTGATCAACACAACATGCCTTCAATAAGCAGAAGTTTCCGTATGGCTTCATCCGCCAACGATGTGTGGGGGGCGATTTTCGGTGCCACCTATGTGTACCCGCTGGCCATGCCCGCCCATTATGACGCCATCCTAGTGACCGGCCGAGACGGTCTAACCGCCGGTTCGATTCGCCAGATCACCTATGGATATGGTACGCATAGTAGACAGTAATTACTCATTTTAACAACTACTCTTGATGTCAATATATCTCTAATCATTGTATTGTGCGACATATATGGTGCAGAGATAGCGGGTATGGTTAGGCGGGCGACCGAGGAGATCACCGGGGTCGACCATGAGAATCGAACCATTGATTTGGGGTTTCGTAATGACGATGACATCGTGGGCACGTTCTTTCGTTCCGCCTCCATGGTCGTAAAGGTGGATCCGAATTCCGTCGGCGACGGCCCCAACAGCCGAGGTTCCAACATCACCTGGACTTTGACCTACGCTTCCGATTCCAATGGCAGCCTCAATTTGAAAAAGTTCGAGAATGCTACAGCGCGCGGATTCGAGACTTTGGACGCTTATCTAATGAACGCCTAAGATCATTCCTTTATCCACAGAAAAGACGTACTGAATCTTCGATTTCTGTTTTTCGGTCTTTTTTTTCCCTAACACTTCTATATGCACGTTGGTGTGCTCAATAAATAATCAATCCATATTATTGTACTTACTGACGAGGATGAACCTTTCTTGCTTCTTCTTCGTCTTATGTTGGGTATTAGGTGAAGTAATGGTATTTATGGATCAAGACAAATAAATATTTGCCGTTTAATCACTCATTTTAGGAATTTCACTAAAACAAACAAGGTCTTAATTTTTATTCTTGTTATTACACGCACAGAAGAAGCTTTGCTTCTTTCTTTCTTTGCACTCTCTAACAACTTCCATGCCCCATACACGCAGACATATATATAATGGAATGATAAAAGAAACATAACCATTACTCTTGTGACCATGCTTGAATTATTTTACAATTATTGCTCTTAATCAAAGTAGTTGATGCCCGCCACCATAATTGCTCAACTAGGGTTGGCTATTTGGTCCGGATTGTTTGGTTTTACCCGAAACCGGACCGTATAACTCGGATCGGGACCGGACTGGGACCGCCTAGCAAACAATCTAACTCAAAAAGACCGGACTGGGACCGGATCAATTTGGTCTAATTTAACCGGACTGGACCGTATAGCCACCCTATGCTCAACTACT